GGTGGTATGATGGGAGATGATCCATTAGGAAATAGTTCATCATTTATTCGCCCAATAGGTCATAGAATTTATGTACCAATGGAAACAAGTTTTGTTAATGCAACTCGTGTTCAAGCAAGTTTAGATGATGATGATAAAAGACAGATTCCACCACCACCACCATTACCACCAAAATATGAATCTTCAAATTTTGATCAATCTATAAAGAATATAATGTCTACTTAAAAATAACCTGTGACTTAATGCATATATCTCTTATGTTCATATTTTACAATGTGAGAAAATAAAAAGATCATTTATTTTTATCATTTAGAAATATTTTGTCTCTAATTGTAAAAAAAAAAAAAAGAAACTTTTCTCATAGAGATTTATGTTTAATGAATTAATTGAAGAATATATTTAAATGATTCAATGTATTCGTATAGGTGAATAAATGATATTTAAATATGTTATTATACATTTGATCGCATAATTGACGTTTCAAGAGATTTTATTGATCAATTACATATTAATAAGATCGAAGAATAGTTATATATTCTTCAATAAATCATAAAAATCTTAATCAAATAATCATACTTAGTAATTTTCTATTTATTTCAAAGAAAGTCTTTCGTATTAAAATTAATTAATAGTAATTCATAGATAAAAGATCTATTGTTATATGTTGAATAACACTCGATAAGAATATGATGATAATCTGACATTTTCATTAATCGAAAGTATAATAAATTTGAACATGAAATTATTGTAGAACATTCACATCTCTTTTTTATTTTATCTCGATAATTTTTTTTATTTTTACATTTTACTTTCGAATTACATTCGAGATATTCATAAAAAGTAATACAGTAGTCTTCTAAGAACAAATATAAATTTTAATGAGTCGAAGGTAGTGTAGTTTATATTAAAGTTAATTACAAATGTAGATAATACACCATAAGAACATATAGTTTGAATAATTGTATAGAACACTTAACATCATTCATAAATGACAAATACTCAATGCAATATTTTTGAAATCGACATTATTTAAATATATTAAAATATTCATTTTTTTTTTTGTCTCATGATAAAAATCCCATTGATTGATTTATCATAATTCATTATTGATTAGTTGTAAATCTATAGAAAACAAAAATAGAATAGAAAGTGTGTCAGTCTGTTGGAATAAAAAAGTAATGGATCTTCATTCTGAGTTAGTTATTTTTCTAATATTTATTTAGAAAATCAAAGATTTTTTCGAAAATTCTTCTAGTATTCAAATCAATGCCGGAGAGCCAGAATTTTTGCTTACAAAAAAATACTTTTCTACTGAAAAAATAGTAATTTATTTATATACCAGATTTTTTTGAAGTTTTGCAACCTGCGAGAATCAGAAAAAAAAACTTCAGAAAAACCGTGACCTTCTATTATGCCTTGTAAAATTTTTCTTATGAATGGCCTTCTATTGTTGAAGTATTAACATAATCTGTTATCACTGAAATAGATGTTTCTCCTTCAAAAGTTTCTAATGTGTTTCTAGACAGACAGACAATGATCTAGATTAAATGATAGAAAAATAAGATAAGCATTTATTTTCTAACAACACAACGAATGACAGAAGAAAAATTGCACTCTTGATATTTTCTGTTTTTTCTTTTCATCGAACTTATTGATGTTCTTAAATCGATTCTTTTCAAACTTGCTTCATTTTTTTTTGATCAATCAAACATTATTCTTACAACTAAAGATCTTCTTCAATGAATCGAAGCACCTGTGAATTTGAAAAGAATAATATGAAAATTAAGATTTCTTGAAGCTTAGACAAGATTCTCTTCGATAGGAAAGAAAAAAAAGACTTTATTCTGACCTTCGAAATCAAGGCTATATAATAAATTTTTATTAATATAAACGTCTATAAGTAATTTATTCATTAGTACACAATGTCAATGCATTGTTCTTTATATTAAATTCAATGAACAAAACACGTTCTATTTGGATGATGCATGAGTTGCATGTCTATAACAAGTAAAATTCATATATTGAAGAGAAATCCATCTGTTCAACGATTAATAAGTCAAAATATAATTAATGTTAGAAAATTACCAAAAAAAAAAACAATATTATCAAAACTAAGAACATGGGCGACAGATGAACATTATCAATTCTAGGTGATGAAAAAGATAAAGAACAAATTATAATAAAAGTTAATATATCTTTTATGTAGATAAATGATTAATTCTAGTGTTTTGTTTTTGATGAACATATCAAATTTATTTCATCAATAAAAAAGCAATCTTTTCTTAATAATTGTAAATATTCATCATTTTATCTGTTATGTAAAGTTGCTGAAATCAGATGTACTTTTTACTAAGGTTAAAATAAAAATAGAGAAGCAACCAAAGAACAGTCTTATTAAGACATAACAAAGGCTACATCTAATTAATAAGAATTCCAGAAAACAAAACAATTTTACTGAAATCCAAGAATGTCGACTAGAACATAACAATTCTAGATGCCGCTAATTATCAATTAATTAAACATCGTAATTCTCATGATCAAAAAAATTTTTTTCAATATTCTGAAAATTTATTCCAAAGATATCATTTCAAACATATAGATATAGGCATAGACAAAGGATATGTTCACTGAGTTTATCAATGGTTTTCTTTCTTGATCAATGACATAATATCTATATATTCAATCAAACGTAAAATCAATAGAAAACTTTATTTATTTTGATTTTCTTTCATAGTTATGGTATATAAGTAACTTAGACAAAGCAATGAAACAAAAAATAAGCTTGACTTTTCTTCTTACAGTCAAGATATTTATAAATATTGCTTCTAATAAAGTCTAGCAAAGAAGAATATTTCTGAACACTTAGTATTGTATTTTTCTAGCAAAAGAAAAGATAAGTATGTTTTTTTTTTTATTCAACAAGAAAATATCTAATATTAATTATGAAAAAACATAAGTATTAAGTAGATTATATCTTCATTATAATAGGAAGAAAAAAAGATTAAAGAAGACAATATTCTAATTTAATATTTAATAAGGATAGCAAAATCATGATTTCTTCATATTCTATTGAATTCAAATGCGAAAATATGTCATTTAATACAAGTTTTTTGTTAGATTTTTAGTTGACTAGATCATTTCAATTGTAATAAGATCATGAAAAATTATTTTAAGAATAAAAAAAAAATATAGTTATAGTAGTTTCTATGGTTGAAAGCATGTTCTATTTGAAAAATAACACCGATGGGAATTAATAAATATAATGAACATATTTTGCTTTTCTATATTAGAGAAATAAATGTTCGATCAATAAAATAAATATTTTTCTCTTCTATTTATTAGAAATTTATTCAAAGTTCTTGAATTGAATTTAATATATATATATATATATATATTCAATTCGTTATATCATGTTCTTTTTTTTTTCTTTGAATATTTATACAATTTATATAGATGAAACTGAAGTTGAAGAAGAAGAAAATGATGTACAACAAAATTGGATATTTATTTAATCAGCAAATAAAGAAAGTTTATTTTATTTAATTCTTTATTTTTATTTTGTTTTTTGGTTCTTGTTTCTTATCCTGTTCGAGAAATCCACAATGGTTTTCCATAGAAGCGATTTGTACGTGTTCGACGTGATAACCATAATGGGCTAAGATGAAAATTTGGATATTTATTACGTTTTATTGGTTGTTGATCATCATCATCATCGTCGTCGTCATTATCATTTTGTTCCGATGAAACTATATCTGAATGTTGATCAGATAACTGTTTATTCATGGCTTTAATTAATGATGATAATTGTTGTTCTTGATTATGTTGACGAAAATATTCTGGATTAATCGCATATAATGTATGAATAAATAGAATACATATTAAAAGTAGAGCAATTGACGAACGAACAATCATTGTAATTTCTTGTTGATGAAAATAGCGAAAATAGTAAATGTTAAGTATGTGTAGTAATACTGTTTATATTTGGTTGTGTCGAGAAAATACCTTAGGGAGAAAGAGAGAAAGAAGAAAAAAACGAGAAGTAAACCAATCGAGAATTAGGATATGGAAGAAAATTGTTCTTTTTCTCCGATTAATATCTTGTTGGACCTACGTCTTACTTTTTCGGACGTTAGAATATTACAAATAATTAACATATTTATCTATATGTTCTAATTGTATTAGGAAACTGTGGGTGGAAATTGTTGATCTTGCTTCTCTATTTATTTTTTTTAATATAGAAATATAAAATAGATTATGATTAAATTCTTTTTTAGTTTCGTTTCTTATTCAAGTTATTAGAAGAGAAGAGAAACAAAATAAAACTATACCAATAAGTTCAAGTGTCATTTTGTGTAGTAGAAAAACGATGATGCATTGTAATTATTCATAAAACAATACAAATGTATGACATAAAAGAAAAGAATAGAGCAGAGGCGTATGGAACATGATGTTCCTTCTTCTACTTCTCAAATTTATCCACATAATACTTTTTCTATTTTTAAAATTTGTTCTTGCAACACGCTTATTTTTTCTCTGCTATTCAATCAATCTTCATTCCGTACTCACTTAACACTTTTGAAAAAGTAATTGAGATATAAAATGAACTCGTGCATAGTATTACTTTTATTATAGATATCTATGCATAAATACTTTATTTATTAATATTTATCAATAGAAAGTATTATGAGAATACTTGTAAATATGAAAGTGCATTTCATATTCTATAAAAATGTTAATATGAATTGTAATCGAGAATTTGAAAGTGCAATAAAACCTTTTTTGTTTTGAAAGAAGAATATGATTTAAGAAAAACAACTTTTTTTCTAGGTGAATGCGACTGTCTTAATGCTTTCACTTTCTTATGTTTGTTATTTTTAATCGAATGTTTTAAAAATACAAAAACTAATGAAATATAAATTTCGAAAAAGAAAATCATCTTTTTTAGATATTTTTAGATAATTATTGAATCTCATTTATATTCGTATAATTCATTCTATTTAATGTTTTCATTTATCTTTATTCTTTTTCTTCTAAATATTATTACAAATTATTCATTAATATCTAATAAAAAATTTATTATATCTGATGAATATCTTGGTAATACTGGAAAACATCTTTTTCATTTCGTACATGTAATTATATTCATTAGAGAAAAAAAAAAAAGAAATGTAATAATTCAACTATTTTATTAGATAACAGATATTCATATAAGTCATTTCGGTCATGCTGATCGAATACAACAATTCGAACAATTTTGTAATCAAATTATAAAAACATTAGTAAAACCACAAGTTACTATTGTAACAGGTAAATAAATAAATTATTAATTTGTGTTTTTTTTTGTTGTTGCGGATAATTGATTTAAACATTATTTAATACCAAAAAGGTGATCTTGTAAACAGTGTGAGCAGTTCAGTAGATCGATTATTTGGAACAGAACAATATGAAGAAGAATGGACTATTTATAGAGATGTTTTGATTCGAACTAATGTTACAGCATATACAAAATGGCTTGATATAAAAGGAAATCATGGTAACAGAAAATAAAAAAAAAAGAAGATAACTTTATTTCGAAATTTAATCTTTATTATTTTAATATGAATAGATGCATTTATGGATCCTGATCCAGATTCATCAAAAAGTTTCTATCGGTATGAATTTTTTTTTCTTTTTTTTTTGTGTGTAAAATAATTTGTGTATCATTTAAGTATCTATTCACATCAAGGACATAATCATAGTGGTTCATATGAATATACATTAAGAACAAAAGATGATGATAGTTATTCATTTGTTGCTGTTGATATGTGTCCAAGACCAGGTATTGGTCGTCCATTTAATTTTCTTGGTCATATTAATAAAGTAAATTAAATATTTTTTGTTTATTTTTTTTTTTTGAAAAGAAAATTTTTCATTTTAAATATTTAGAAAGAAATGAAAATTTTAAAAAAATTATATGAAAAAACTAAAAATTCTACATCAACAATATTCTTCGGTCATTATCCATTATCATTTACTTATTCAAATGGACTTGATCAAATAATGAAAAATGGTATTGTTTATTTAAATGGTCATCTTCATTCTGGTATTAAACATTTATATGCTCGTCATTCAAATGGATTACTTGAACTTGAATTAGGAGATTGGAAAGATAAACGACGGTAAAACATCCTTTTTCTTTTCTATTTTCTTAAATATAAATAAAAACAAAATATTTTTATTTCTTTAAAGATTTCGTATATTAACTATTGATTCGGGTTTATTATCTTTCGAAGATTTTCGATTTAATCAACCTATTTATGCTATTATATCAAATCCAAAAGCAGCAAAATTTCTAACACTAAGAGAACCATTCTATCGTATAAGTCAAAGTACACATATCAGGTTATTTGATAAAAACAAAACAACAAAGATTCTTTATTTATTTAAAACAAAAAAATTTTATTTTTTCAGAATTGTTATTTTTTCAAACTTATCTATTCAAAATGTAATTATATCAATTGATGAACAATATATTGGTTCAGCTATTCAATCAAAAGATAATCAAAATTTATTTATTCTTCCATGGAATACAAATTTATATAATGATGAAAATCTTCATAAAATATTTGTTGAGATTAAAGTAAAATTAAAAAAAAAAAACAAAATAATATTTTTTTTTTTGTTTTTCAAATAAATATTCAATAAATTATTTTTTTCTAATTAAGGATATTGAAAATAATACAGTAACTTTACAACATGAATTTTCTCTATCATTACCAACAATAACAAAATGGAATCGATCAAAACTAATTCTTACTATTCATCAACCAACTTTTGTAAAAAAACAAAACATTATGTTTTTTTTTGTTTTGATTCTTACTTTTTTTATTTCTTAGGGCTTTATTATTTTAATTTCATCTTTATGTATATATATTTTCGTATTATTATATTATCGATATCAAGCAAAACAAAATTCCTGTAAGTCAAGCTTAAAAAATCAAATGCATAATAGATTTCTGGGTACAGAATAATGTATACGGAAATGTTAAAATAAGCACATGAAATAAGATCGTAGGTGGGAAGATACAATAACAGATTATTCAAATGAGTAGTATATTAGCCAAAAAGAAAACTACTAAAACATATGTCATAGTTTCATTACAAGAAAAAATATCTGTGTACGATGTTTGTCATTTATTTCTAAGCATAAGAAAAGATATTAGCTAGTCAATAAGAAAACCTTGATTAACTATTTTCTTATGATTAATAGTTTTGATAAAAATATTACAAATGTTATTTCCAGTTCTTTTTTTTTCTTTATGGTTAAGTAGCGAAAAATAACAGCAATGTTTTCTTTCTTTTAGCCAACTTTTTTGATCGTTTTACCTTATGGAATCAACGATTGATGTGTCTTTGTTCAGTAGATTTAATGTTTTATTCATTAATTGGTTTTTCTCTATATTATTTTATCGGTAAAAATTTTTATTTTATTTGATTAATCAATTGAATTTGTTAATTTTTTTAAGGTCCATGGTATTTCGGATATTTAACACCAGGTCATTTTGGTGCAGTATTTCTTTGGGGTACATTAATACAAGGAGTTTATTTACCACCCGATTCACAAATATTTGTAGGAACATTTCAAGTAATTTTAATATGAAAAAAATTATATTTTTCATTTTTTTTTGATTTTTGTTATTTTTTTAGTTATATTTCTTTTTATTCCCATTAACATTTAGTTTAAGTTCATCATGTTTTTATCGATATAATCAACAATATGAATTAAATAGATCGATGAATAAATATTATTTAAATAATTATTATCGAATCTATACAATTTATATTATATTTATATATACATTAGTTTTTATAATATTTTTCTCTTTACTAATGACTGCATCATATAAATTATCTTGGATTATATCACCATTTGGTTTTATATTAATTTTATTTTCATTAATTCTTTATATAAAATCTCATCGATTAAAAATCGAAGATTTTAAGTTAAGAATAATAACAACTAAAATAATGAATTCAAAATTAATTCAACAAGTTGATGAAGAACAAGAAATATTAGATATGATTAAATCTAAATGATTAATCCATATAAAATGTCAAATTATTTTCATATGTTGTTTATTAATTTAATCCGGTATAAAATTAATCATGCATATTTTTTTTTTAATAAATAAATTTTATTTTTGAAAAAAATATTTGTCAGAATAAATCAGCAATTTTTCTTAATAAATTTTCTTTTTTTTTAAATAATGAACGAATCAAACTATAATATTCATATCAGTATAGATTGTTTATTATGAAAATTTATTAGATAGAGTATTCATTATACTAAAAATAGAATCTATTTTCTATTATTTAGAAAATATTTCAGTTTCTCCTTAAAAAAATGGTCTGAAATGTGAACTATTACATAATCAAAATAGTTTATTGCCTGGCGTCTTATTTTTTTTTTATAAAATGTTCCAGGGCTTTTGTCATCTTCTTATAAAAAACACATTGTTCGCATAAATATGAATGATGAGTAAATGAAAGTTTCGAGAGCGTTTTAATTAAAACTACTAAGATGTTATAAAATTTCAAATCATTTCCACTTTTTCACTGACTTATCCTGAAATCCTCAAAGGGATTTGACTATAGGCAATTATATTTTTCTAGATTCGAAAGAGAATATCAAAATGAAAGGCATATCAGAGTCTATTTTTTAATTACTGTAAAAATTCTAGTAGTAAACATGTTCTAATTATGAATAGTGAATACTTTATTACGATCTCTGTTGCTATTTAAAATATTTCTGATATAAAGATATATGCAATAATGTTCTTTGTTTATTTTTTTCCTACTGTCTATCACTTGCTTCATGTAAACGCGATGATTCAGAGCTCTTTATCTATACATCCACTATTGTATATATGTAAATAAAATAATAATGTTACAGTGCTAGCTTAATTTGCAAGTCAATATTAGTATTGATTATTGAGATAAAATCAAAACTGATATCGACATTGATTCAAAAGCAAAAAGACGAAAAAACATCGATATACTTCTGGAAAAAAAATCAAACATTGTATTGTAATTGAGTAATTTTTTAAGTGAAATCGTTTAGACGAAAATAGATAAACAAGAGAATAAGTCTCGAGGCATTTTTTCTACAATTAATGACGACATAGATGTCCTGAGAGCTTTTTCTTCATTTCACTGCAAATCATGCATTAACGCTCTAGACTAAACGCCTCTATATTGCGAATGCTTCCTATAGCAATTCTCATGGTGTTTACAATAAAACACGTTTTCCGGTAGGCTTTTCGTTATCAAATATAAAAACATTTCTCATTTCAAGAGAACTTTTTGATGGATCGAACCTATCAATCTTCTCTTTCACAGACAAAGTAAAAAAGCTTTCTTTTTTTTTTGAAGATTCTATCATGTCCTACATCTTAACCTGCACTTTCAAAAGTTAAACATAGAGGAAGAGAGTCTACAAAGAATTTTGAATTGCCATATGAATTACTTTTGACTTTTGTTTCATGATTACCCTACTAAAACGTCATGATATACAACTGAAAACTTTACTATAGTCTCAAAATATTCTGAAAGCTCCAAGCGATTTAACAGTATCTGACGCGAAATCAGTTTTTTAGGAAAAGAAAAATCGTAAACAAAATGATTTGAAATTCTTTCTGGAAAGTCACTGATCAACAAAATTTTATGTCTCATTTAATTAATTGAAATATAATGTCTTGTTAGTGCCTACATAATAATAAATCTTATTGTTGTATGAATAATGATATCACTCTTTCATTAATATTGTCATTTCCACATCTCTCTCTCTCTCTCTATCTGGTTTCTTTGTGTTCATTTTTTTCCGTGTACATTTGCAATGTATATGAAATAGACTCATTTCAGCATAGATGTATTAACTCAATAAACGTCATTATCACGAATGGCAGTGAAATGAATTATGTAATATACTGTTACAGTAGTTGCACTCAGTAAACAAAAAAAAAGTATGATCTGAGAAATAATTTTAAAACCGTAGCAACAGTTTTTGAGAAAAAAATATTTTCACTACGACACTTCATTTGAATGTCATGCAATGATGAAAACAGTAACAGATATGGAATTTTTGTGATATTATGAATAAATCTCGAAACATATATATGGAGTTTATTTCACAAGAGATATTTTATATTTGAATTTCCTACTGAATCAGAAGCAAAGCATTCCTTAGATACAATTTGATGCATCATGTTTTATTGATCAGCAATCAAATTTTCATATTGACAAATTCGATTCAAACGAAATTAGATGTTTCATAGAAGAATAATTCAAATAACAAAAACATTCAAGATATATAGATTTAATGCGGAAATATCATCAAGGAACCTTTATTAAGATTGGCACTTGAATAAATAAAATCTTGGTCTAATTTGTACTATGAAATGAAGTCAATGAGCATTTATATTTAACATTAATTTGACCTAATTATAAGCATTTCGAGTGCTATCTATTAGACCTTGATCGTATTACAAAAAGTGTTTCGCTAAATTGTCCATTTGCATAAATTCTATTTTTAATTTAGTACCAAAATTCTTTTGTATATTAAATGTAGTTCGTTGTCAATCTTTTGAAAGACAAAACACGTTTTATTTGAATGCTATATATATTTTCTTTTGTTTGTTCGAGAGAAAAACTAGATAGTTTTATTAAAATTATCACAAATATTATCAAAAATAAAGAAATTTATTACAAAAAGATCCAAGAATATCTTTAAATAGGACTGCACCAATGTCTAGAAGATAATGTCACTGATGACATATTGTTCTAATTAAGAATGTAACTCCCTATCGATATTTATATTCGTTTTTTCTTTTGTCTGCCCAAAGCTGTGATCAAAATTCATGCAATAAAAAAAAAGACTTCTAAATCAACCAAAAGTTCGTATTTTTAAACTTTTTGATGACTAACTTAATCTGATTACAACTACAATTAAGGATGGTTAGGAGTCAGTAATTCTCAATATTGAAAATAGTTCAATGTCTCAATAGAAATTTTGAGACATTCATTCGTTTGTATTTAAAAATCTAGAAGTCCAGTATTCAGAACTACAAAACTTCTGAACCCTGTTTATGCCAATCGTAATTCTCTTTGAACGCTCTTTCTCAATCTATTGTTAAACTTTATCCAATGGAAAACACAGGCTGGAGAATCAGTTATAATTGAATAAAAAACAAAAGGCTAAAACATGTAAATTTTTAACCACTTCCGAAGTCTTTGTTCGGTATTACATGAAGTTCGACCACAATCTTCGGTAGATCAAAAGAAAATTTAATCCGAGCTGGAGATGTGCAAGACCAAGTTTTTTTTATCTTGATCCCAATAACTTTTAAATCTATCGGTCTTCGAGTCTAGAGAAAACTATCCCAGAATTTGACCGTGTCATATCAAGAATAATTGTTCAATACTTGATTTATTTATTTAATTGATGATTAACACTTATTTGGATCACTTGTCTTCAATTATGTTCTCACTCACATGATTTCTAAGATAATTTTCTTAAAATCATAGAATTTTTTTACTATAACACTTGAGTTTCAGTTCCATTTAAATAAAAAGTCAAAGTCATCTTTTGACATTATATTCTAGATATAGGTGCATACCTATCTTTAAAGTACATATAAAACTATTGTATAAAAATTAAATATGAGAAAAAATTTGTTGATTTAATTGTTTACATATATATCTAACTTGTGTTTTTAAATCTTCATGATGATTTAATTGATAAATATGAATTATTTTTCCTGATGATTTAATAATTAAATTAATAATTGTTTGTAAATAAATAATAATATCTTGATAAATATTATTTGATACAAAAATAAGATCATATTTTTTCCAATCATTATTTATATGAAATGGTTTACTTTGTAAAATTGTTTTAGGTGTTGTATTTGAATTTATAAATTGTTGATAATCATCAATAAAATAAGCTGATGTTGTAATTTTATTTGATGATTTTGATTGAAATGATTGAAGAAGGTCATCACTAACAATAAATGGATATTGATAATACCAACTTTCAATTCGATGTTCTTCATCAGTTATTAATATAAAACGTGGATAACTTTTATTTAATGGAGATTTTGTCTCCATTGCACTACGACAACGTGAAATTTGAGGTTTTAATTTTATTTTAGATTTTAATGAAACATTTGAGACAACTTCTGAACAATTAGATGATTCACAAACTACTGGACCAACTGTTTTGTCTGTTTCTTGTTGTTGTTGTTGCTGTTGTACATCTTCAAATTGAGGAGAATATATTGATGATCCTAGAGGATCGTCATTATTGGATACTTCAGATGTTAATAATTGAACACGCTTTTCGATAATCGATGGTATTACTATTGATGGAGAAGCAGAACGAATACGTCCCAATGCTGTTGATGATGGTTTAATTTGTTTAGTTTTTGGTTTTAATGAATAATTATTTGCTGTCAATAGAGGAGAATGAATCGGTTTTGTGGCTACAGTTAATGGTTCAAAATTTAAATGAGGATACGTTTCTGTTGATCGTCTTTTTATTCGAGAACGAGATAAAAAATTTTGTGGAACTGATGTCATTGTTGGTGTACGAGTAATATTTGAAGAAGGCGTTGCATTCATTGATGAATATTTACCTATTTTTAAACAGTTTTTCTTTATTTATTTACATATTTTATTATCATACTTAACCAAATTGGTTGAATGATCAGTTTGTAAACTAGACTAAATAGTTATTCATCTATGATAGGAGACTATCAGAGTTTAGATTAGTTCGGATTAGATCTGTCAGCCTGATAGGTCATTAATCTAGGCTGAGATTTGAAATTGTAGCCTGGCCAAATTCATTCATATACTATTGAATCGCACTAAAAGGCTAGGCCAAGCCAAAGTTGCTAGCCTATGCGTGATGTACTATTATTTTCTCTAGTATAACTTGTAACATAAAATGGCGACAAAGGCTCATGATTTTGTAAGGATATGAGTATGGCTTATGTCTTGTAGAGCTTAGTGAATTGAAAAAAGAATAGAAATATCAGTCAGTCTGATTTACCCTGCAAATAACCGAGCCGGATCTGTCCAAATCGACAAAAAAAAATGGCCTATTGATAGCTCTTGCCTGAATTACTGAAAAGATGTTCTTTCTTTTTCTTTTTTTGAAGATGAATCCTACACTGATAAATATCAATTTATGTATAGAAATCTCAATAAGGATTTTCTTGAGAATGGAATATCTTATAAATCTCTTTCTACCAAACGAAATCTATCGAGTCACAATTAATAAAACTTAAAGAGAAAAATTCCACAATTGATTTATCGCTCTTCATTCAGATGTACTATAAATACCATGACAAAGAGTTCGGATTTTAATAATAAACTATTCTCATCAAAGTCTGTCTCTCTGAACAATTTCAAGTTGAGATTCGAAAATCGGTTTTCTCTGTGTTAATGAGGGATGAACACACAGTATTCAGTTACAAAATAGTGCAAAAAAAAGTCAATATCATCACAACAATATGTTCAGAATTTAAATTCTATTCAGGATATTCGTTGCTCATTGGAATTAACATGATGTTCATAGTCTTGACTCACAAGTGAGTAATTCATTAGAAAAATTTCTTCGTAAGAATGAAAGTAAATATTGAGTATTTCTGAGAACTATTAAAATATTTTAGTAAAAAAACATTTTGTTTTAAGAAATGGATAAAATATTTATTAATTATTTTAATAATACATAACTTACCAACCTGATGCATGTTTGAATTTATTGATTTTCATGTCTTCAGATTGTCGATTAACAACTTGTTTAAGAGCTTCAAAAGAAAATCCATCACAATTAAAAATTGATGTCGTTGGATCTACAAGAACTTGTTCATTTGTTGCAAGACGTTTTAATTCAACTAATGATTCTCTCAATTGAAACCAAGTATCGGAATCAGCTTGAGCATGTTTTAAAGTTTGTTGTTTTTGTCGTATTCTATCTTGCATTAGTTTACGTCTTTCATGTGTTTGTTTTGGAAAATTTTTTAATAAAATTTCTTCGGAATTTATATTTATTGGAACTGCTAATGAAGCTGATTTTACTCGAATAGGTTTTAAATGACCAGGTGGATGATTCGATGAATTGAATGATGATTGCTCAATTGTTGAACAAATATCCGGTGTTGGAGTTGGTTGATAAAGTGGTGGAGGTGAAAAACTACGTGAATCTCTTGAAATTATAGTATTATGTCGATGGAGAGATTTTTTTGATAAATTTTCAATTTGATTTCGATTATCAATACGTAATTTAAACATATGATTACTAGATTTATTTGGTAAACTTGTATGTGATCGAGTTATGGATGTTGACCAACTAGGAAATTGATAAAAATTTCCAATAGATGAATCATCTAAATAATTCATTCTTGATTTATTTCTTTTTTATCTAAAAGAAATTTTCGTTTTTTTTTTTAAAAACTATTTAAAGACAAAAAACCCCAAAAATTAAGAAAAACAAACACACTAAAACATATATTAATAGCTTGAATTATTAGTTAATGATTAAATACAAACAAATAATTAATTAATTTTCATCATGAATATTTGATTCCGTAATACATTTCCATAGAAAGATACTAAACGAAAAAGTTCAAAAAAAAGAAAAATAAATTAAATATTCTTACCAACAATCATCACCACCTAAACTAACTAAATATTTTTCATTTGCAAGAAAACGAACATTTGTTACATTATCAGAATGACCATAAAATATTTTACATTCAGCCTAGAATATTATTTTTTATCAATTATAATTATTATTTCATAATAATAAATTCTTACTCCAGGTTCTGGACATGGAAATCTAAATAATTTAACAGCTCCATGATCATCGCCAGTAGCAACTGCTGATGATGTTGCATGTACACAATTAATATGATCTTTTTTAACATCTTTTGGCCAAATTCCCATAATATCATCGCCAAGTGGACTAGACAAAAACAAAACATCATAAAATAAATTTTTTTAAAATGAAATATTTCAACCTTGTCCAAGTATTCCATACAACTTTGTCAATTTCATCATGATTTTTAATTTCTTCACCATCAGGTGCATGAAAAATAAATGCATGTAATCCAATTGTAGTTGTCTTTTAAGAGAAGAAAAATAATATCATGAAACAAAAAAAAAAACAATTCAATTCAAAAAATTTTACTCTTATATATTGTGAATTTGTAGCCCAATCAATTTGTGTAATAGCATCTTTCATATGTGTTACATAACCAACACGTGTTAATTTATCATTTTCAACATCAAAAAAATCAATACAACAATTTTCTGATGAAGCAACTAAGAATTTACCATCAGGACTAAATCTAAACAAAAAAAATAATACAAATAAATATTTCATTTTTCGTTTCTTTAATTAAAATACCTAACACAAAGAATTGGAGTATTACGTTCTCTTGTTTTAAGAGTTTCTATTAATTCTTTACTTTCAAGTGAATAATTCACTAAACTAATTTGTCCATCTTTGAAACCAACTGCTAATAAATTTCCAGCCGGATTAAATGAGATACTACGAATTCCTTTTTTCATATCACGTTTTGCTATAAGACCCTAAATAAAAAAACAAAACGTATATTTAATTTTTTATCTAAATCAAATTATGTAAAACAAAGGTAATAAAGCAATGACTTGAGGAGGACGGGTTTTTTTTTTCTACAACTTACTTACGCGATGTTCACTTAAGGACTTTTATTTTTAAATTAAAAAATAGAAATTATATCAAAAAAAATTTAAATTTTAAATAAATTTTATTTACTTTAGTAGATGAATTCCAAATAACAAGATTTCGATCATAACTTCCTGTAGCAAATAGTGGTTTAGTTGGATGTGTTGATAATGCCCATAATTGTCCTTCACCATGTCCAAATACTAATGATGTTGATCGAGCACCTGATGATCCATCTTCAATTTCAATAATATCAGAAGTTTTTAAGCCAACTAAAATTTTTCCCTAAGAAAAACTTATTGTGCATTTATTTAAGTCCATAAAGAAAAATTTACTTGAGAATTGCGACAAACAGATCTAACACAAATTGTATCTGTTGATGGTACATTAAGTTTAATTGATCGTCCATTATTCATATTTAAATCCCATATTTTAAGTGGTTTAACTACTACATCACTTGAAGAAGATCTAAAAAATACATAAAATTTATAAATTGATAAATTGATAAATTATCATAACATACTTTTCTTTAGCACCTGTAACAATACAATTATCTGAACTAAACATTGAAAAAATCGGTCCAGTATGAGCATTTACTGTTCGTTCTAATGTATTAACACGCCAAATAAATACTAAACCAGTCATACTACCAGTATAAGTTCGATTTTCCTTTAATAGATAATCAAATTTCATTTCAATCAAACGATATAAAATTCTTTTTTTTTCTTACTGATGCAAATGCAATTGAAAGCATCGTTTGTCTTTTTCTTGATTGGTTTTCGTCTACTGTTTTTGGAATAATAGCTTTTTTTTCAACTAATGTATTTCCTGCCAGTGACCAAAATTTTAAATGTTTTACACCAACTGATACAAAATGTGTATCCGACATCGGACGAAATAATGCATTAAATATTCGTGCTTCAGATCCAACTGCAGTTGCAACACTATTACCTAAAGAAAAAAAAAACGAAATGAAACATTCAAAATTTTTACTGAACTCGCATTAGGTTTTACGAAGAAAAATATTGTGATTGTAAAGCTTAAATTGAGACTTTACGGTTCTTCTCTCATAGTAATTGAGAGAGGCCAACAATCATTTAGTACATTGTCCTAGTAACCAAGGATAATAGACGCTAGGCTTCTTTATCAAAGTTCTCTAACAACGAAAAAGGATATTGAATAAGATTAACAACAAGACGTAGACTACTCTAGAAAACCTCAAAACTTTGTGTGAAATTTGAATACCTGGAATGAGTTTATGAATGTTCTAAGTGTGCAGAAAAAAATTTCATATTCAAAATGTCAGGAATGATGAGTAGCGATCGAGATGGAAAAGTGCGACTTCAATACTTTGATGTACTTCACTTCTATTTCGTAGTATTGAAGTTGTGTTCTTTCCTCATTAGTGGCAAAGCATTAATTTGCCAAAGTTATCATATTATCAATATAAAAAAGTATGTACTGATCAAGTTATAACTTAAGGAAATAACCAATACAAAGATGTCCATCGCGGCTCAAAATCTGCCGCTGCCGCGCCGCGGCCAAAATCAAACAAAGCTGCCGCGCCGCTCCCGCGACGCGATGACCTGTTAAAAAAGCTACCGCGCCGCTGCCGCGCTGGTATTCGAAAAAATGTTTTGATTTTCAAGGCTTTGACTGGTTTGAAATAGAACTGATGCCGCTAATCGATCAGATTCGCTAAGTCTTACAGTATAGCATACATAAACATGCAGATTCTGTGCAAATTCATGAATTTTTGAAATTTTTCCTAAAAAGCTGCCGCCGCCGCGCCGCTGCCACGACGGCAAAATAAAAATCTCTCCCGCGCCGCGATAGTTTTTGAAAAAAATCTGCCGCTGCCGCGCCGCCACCGCCACGGCGGCAGCGGCAGCGACAGCGGCGCGATGGA